ATCACAATACTCTTGAAATGACTCGAGTGTGTTGTTGGGGTTCTGGGCCTTGATATACAGGGTATTAAGTATACTTAAAGAGGAAAACGTTCATGTAAATGTTGAGTCCTTCACCTTATCCCCTGATCCTATCCACTTTGGTGTTCCTCAGGGATCTGTTCTTTGACCGCTCCTGTTTTCCCTCTACATGCTCCCTTTAAGCACAGTCACCACACAGCATGAATGTCGCTGGTTTGAGTCCCGGCTGGGCCAGTTGGCATTTATGTGTGGAGTTTGCATGTTCTCCCCGTGTTGGCGTGGGTTTCGGGGTGCTTCAGTTTCCTCCACAGTCCAAACACAAGTGCGCTCTAGGGGAATTGATTAACTAAATTGGCCATAGTGTATGAATGTCTGTGTCAATGAGTGTGTATGGGTGTTTTCCAATAGTTGATGGTTCATTCCGCTGTGTCGACCCCTGATAAATACAGGAATAAGCTAGAGGAAAATAAATGAATGTTTGAATGAATGTCTGAGTGATGTTATACCAGACATCGCAAGTGTCCTGGAAAGGAAGCTCCGGGAGTGTCCTGCCTATTCATGGCTCCCTGATGCCCACAAATGAGATATTAAAAAAGCAGAATTCCTCATCAGCATCTCGACTATTGACACCATATCCTCACACTTTGCATTTGAAACAGTCACTGTGTTGTTGTTTTAGCTTATATAACTGCTAGCTGACTTGTGCATTATGCATTTAACCTACAAGAGTGTAAAGGTGTTTTCACACCTGCCTTATTTAGTTTGATTGAATCGCACTAGAGTTTGTTTTTCCTTTTGGTGCGTTTCATTTGGGCAGGTGAGAACACAGCAATCGTACTCGAGTGCGCACCAAATGCGGACCAAATAAGCACACCGAGACCTGCTTGAAGAGGTGGTCTCGGTACGCTTTCAAACGAACCCTGGAGCGGTTCGTTTGTGGTGAGAATATGATCCGTACTACAACAGGTCCAACCGCAAAAAGTACTGCGCCTTTTGGACTAATTCAGCTGCCGTAGGCCGATGCGCTGTGCATTATGTGATATGGAGGAAAAATATTTGTTGACAGCGCTTTACCAACAGAGAGAGAGAAGGGAAAACATTACCTGATGGATCAATGGTAATATTTCCTCAAGATGACCATGTCACAGTTTAGCTAAATTAATTCACGCCTCCTCCTGAAGTGACGAGCGATGCATTAAAACATTGTTTTCCAGCAGCGGCCGCGCTTCATTCTCGAAATGTATAGTTTGTCTAAACCAGAGTAAAAACAACATTTTGTGTCTGCCGGTTTGTTTACTTGTATGAGTTCATTGGCATTTTCCTGCACATGAATTCTGACCAATCGATAAGCAGTTTAGGAAATATGTTCAGCAACATCTGGCCAATGAGAGATGTGGATTTTGTCAGATGACTGCATTTTGGTTTGTTTCAACTGGTTCTGACCAAAGCCAGCAGTGTGGTGTGAAAACGACCCAAAGACAGCAGAAAATGCAACAGTGTATCATTTATTGCCCTTGGTCCAGACCAAATGAAGCGAACTACAGATGTGAAAGCACCCTAAGTATGAAATTAAACAATACTGTGTTTTGACTGAACAGAGAGCTAGGTAACTACACATGCTTTTAATTTATTATACCATTTTATAATAGTTGAAATCATAATAAAAAATAACCAAACACCCAGATATACTCTTAAATCATTTTATTAGAGATTTAACAAAACCAGAAATTATAAAGCAAATAATTAAAAATCAAAGAGACCAAGTTGTCAGGAGAGGTTAAGGCCAAAATATCAAACAAAACAAGATTTAACAAAATAATTCAATTAACATAAATTTCCTAGCAAAAGAAATGTGATATTAAATCCAATTATCTCACTTCTCAACATGACAAAATAAGAAATGGGTAAAACCCAAATAATCTGGCACTGCATATGCGGTTAGCTGTTATAGCTCTATACAAACACTAAAACAAGACACTTAAACTACACAGTTACACCATGTTGTCTGAGAAAGCAAAAGCAGGAATCTATCTGTCTTTTTCTGCTGTTTTACATACGTTGCTTCGATTTGGATTTGTGGATCTGCAGAGAGAGAAAGTATAGCATAACACCATTAATTACTATATGTGACAACATAACACCCCACCATTAAAATGACTACTTTCTTAGATTTCTTATAATTCTTCAAATTTCTTATAATATATAACCACAAATTCACTGTCAGTTAAAAATGTAAGAGTATTCACCCGTTTGTACAATTTATTTTGTTTCTTAATTAGCAATAACATTAGCTATGTTTCCATTTTTTTAAACCTTTAGGCATCTTAATGTAATGTCCATGGCGTTATTTATGCACGTGATGTATGCACTAGTTTTACATGGTGGACATTGCGCCCTCTCGCTCTCATTAACATGCTTAAATACCTGTGCTATATGACAATATGAAAGCTGTTTAAGTCCTCGTGTATGAGATTTAAGGTTTGGGACTCTGCTGAAGTCTGTTCTGAAATGAAAGCGTCTGACTTGATGTCATTTGCTATGTTTGTTAATGACGCGAGACTCGAATTGACTGGTGAAAATCCGATCTACCTGCTTACGCTGCAGACACAAGAGCACAGATCCGATTCATATGGGATAAATTTCCTCATATGAACAAGATCTGAATCTGTTTTGAGTAAATCAAAATCCACGTGATTCGTTCCTGTTTACACGTACATGGGCCATATTCCATCTGTGCCACATGGGAGAAAAAAAATCGGAATCGAGTCACTTGAACAGTGCAGTGTAAATGCGGGCAAAGAGAACCAAACCGGTTAATAAATTACTTGTGCCTCAGAAGACAGTATGCCAACGCGTAATGAACATCGAATGAAGTTGTTTATAAGCATTTTCAAAATGTATGTGCATGTCAAGGATAGTACAAGACGACTTTAATGGACAAAGTAGTGTTTCCAAGACTTTAGTAAAATATGTATTTTTTGTAAAAATGTTGTTTTGCTCATAGTAAAACTCCTCAGCCATCAGTAGGCCCACATGGAATCTGCGCGCGCAGAATTTTTAGCCGATCATTAATTCTGTTTATTTACTTGAGTAAATGTGTAACTCTAAATTTATTCAGTTTTTATTCAATAATTTATTACTTTTTATTTAATATTTTAAGGTTTTAGTTATGATACGCTGCTGGATACTCCCAAAATAATTCAGCAGAAATTTGCAGATTTTTACCAAAATTCTTCGCAGAAATAGCAAAAAACGTCTGCGGATTCCGTCTGGCCCTGCTAATCAGTCCGTCATCACAGCACAGTGCTGTCTTGAGCATCTGTCTACGCTCCCAAAGAGTGTCTCACGCCTCCAAAAACCACCGCATTGTGATTCGTTTCTGTCTTCTCATTTTTTTTAGAAGAAAAAATATTACATTTTCTTCTCCCACCGAACAACTTTTTTTTTTGTCTGATATCTGCCAACAGTTTGTTAGGAAGTGACGATTTAGTTTTTTTTTTTTTTTAATATATACTTAAAATCCTGCCTTATTCACAAATGTTTCATGCAATAACCCACATCTTTGGAAGGAAACACAGCTGTAAATGTCAAATGCTAATCTCGGCTTTGACAGGCTTCACCTTTAACTTACACTTGCCACATTTAAAGTTAATAATGATGTATCTGCCAATTGATGAAAAACATTTATAATGTTATAATGACCTGCGGAGGCTAGATCGCTGATGAACACTATACATCATTCACGCTACTACACATCTGCCTCTGAACTGGACTACATATCCCATCATGTACCTCATACACACCAGTTCCAGTATCCAAACACAGCTGAAGCTCGTGAGGACGGATTACCAGGACTATAAATACACCTCACTTTCACACACACTTGGCTTAGTCTTGTTTTCTGTGAACATTTCTAAGCGTTACTCTTGTCTAGCCTAGTTTTGTTTTTTTGTTCTTGTTGTTTTGCTGAATCGGCGAGGCAGTGGCGTAGTAGGTAGTGCTGTCGCCTCACAGCAAGAAGGTTGCTGTGTTGCTGGTTCGAACCTCGGCTCAGTTAGCGTTTCTGTGTGGAGTTTGCATGTTCTCCCTGCCTTTGTGTGGGTTTCCTCCGGGTGTTCCGGTTTCCCCCACAGTCCAAAGGCATGCGGTACAGGTGAATTGGGTAGGCTAAATTGTCCAAAGTCTATGGGTGTGTGTGGATGTTTCCCAGAGATGGGTTGCGGCTGGAAGGGCATCCGCTGCGTAAAAACTTGCTGGATAAGTTGGCGGTTCATTCCACTGTGGCGACCCCGGATTAATAAAGGGACTAAGCCGACAAGAAAATGAATGAATGTTTTGCTGCCTGTCCTGATCTCTCGCCTCTTTTTCTCACCACAAATTTGGATTACTAGTATGATCAGGTTCACCTCTGTTAACCCAGATTCTGTGTTACACATAATAACTTACCGCTATATTTCCATATTCCGGGTCAGTCATCTCATCTTTGCAAGCTGTACGTCTGCCATGATGAGGTCTTGAAGGATTTTTCTTTAGCATGAAAAAAAAAAAAATACTATAAACAGACACAAAATAGAGCACACTAGTGTATGATGATAATAATAAATACCTTACCTTTACATTTTCATACACACGGTCAGTAAACCTATGGGTCTGATTCCTCTTTGCCTTTAGTAGAAAATACATCATACAAAAAATAAATCAGCACAAACAGAAACATTCAGTTATGAGAGATCGGGATCAGTTTACTGATATATGTTTACCAAATATAACCAAATATGTGTGTTTTTCCTCAACTGAGGCTCCTCCGTATTATTTTTCTTCCACATCCTGGTTTTCCTTAAGAACAAAGAATGTTACATAACAGTATAGAGTGTTCTCCTATGACAGTTTTGGACTTTTCCCTCTTATTGTTATTCTTGTTTCATTTCTAAAAATGTAAGTTTACCAGGACAACAAGTTAAATGTCAAATACCAAACACATCTCACCAAATCAGCAACATCATAATGACAACCGCAGCTCCACACACCACTCCAATAGATATGTGTAATATCAGCGGACGTCCTACAGCAGACGAAAGAGTAAAACATCAGCACATGTTCACTGTAGGAGTAAGTAAATGATCTGCTTTACCTTTAACAGTGACAGTGACGGCGTCTGATCTCTGAGCTCCATGTGGATTGTGAGCCTCACAGTAGAAGCGTCCACTCTGTACTGCACTGAAACTCTGTCCAGATCCAACAGCTGAGCTTTGATTCTCCTCAAACCAGCTGAAGTTCAGAGCAGGAGGGTTTGAGTCACTGATGCACATCAGACTCACTGAATCTTCAACCATTATTACAGCTGATCCATTTATAGACACTGAGACGCTCTTTGGTGCGTCTGAAACAGACATAATTATGTTTCTCCTGAGAAATTCTAGAAATGTTTAAAAAGAACTAACAAATCTGCACTCACAGGTGACATTGAGATAGACCTCAGGTGATGTGAGTGTGTGTCCAAGTACAGCACATCTATATCTGCCTGCATCTTCTCTGAATGAAATTAAGATGAGTTTGTTTCCAGTAGTTCTTTTAGGCAATGTGTGTGAGTTTCTGTACCAGATGAATGTTGGTGTGTCAGTCAGTTTACAGCTGCTGTTACATGTCAGACGGACTGAATCTCCCTCTGTCACTCTCTCAGGAGACTCCAGCTGAAGATCTGAACACAACACACACATTATATCTAGTGCTGCTCTCATACACTGATTATTATTCTACAAAATGACCACAGGAAGAGAGAAACCTCAGGAGAGTCACCTGTGACAGAGAGACGCACTCCTGGTTTACCAACCCACATCCAATCTTTGTCAGTAATGATTCTGAAGTAATACTCGTGTTCGTCTTTCTTTGTCACATGACTCAGTCTGACGGTGCAGTTCTGCTGTTTATCTCCCAGATACTGAAGCCTCTGACTGTATTCAGGGTCCTCAGACAGATCTGAAAACTCTTCACTATTTTTTACAGGGTTTTTGGTCCAGAACACTTTCATGATCTGATGTCCAGTAGGGTATGTAAAAGTGCAGCTCATTATCACTGATGAGTCTTTTAGTGCACAGATGTGTGAAGTACTGTATTTTACACCCCAATCTGCACCAGAAACCCCTGAGACAGAAATAATCAAGAATGTTTAGGTGAAGATAAAGTTCGCTAAACCTCTTGATAGTTTCAGAAGTGTTGCAGTGACTCACTGTGAATCATGAGCAGGAAGATCAGAGGAAGGGGAGGAGCCATTCTGACCGACATCACCATTGTTCTGTATTTAAACTTGTTGTATTGTAATTTTATAAGACAGGTCCCTGTAAAGGTATATATATCACCATTAGGCTCAGGAACAAACTGAGTTGATGAAGAGAATTAAATAAAGACTTTAATAACAATTATTCTAGTAATCCAAATCAAGACATGATATTAGCACAGACGTTCCATCAGCTCAAACACACAACATCTAACTATGCGCTAAATAAATAGGATCTTAACCAAACCCTGTGGTTAACTTCCCTTTTCTGTCCGAGGTAACTTTACCCACTTCTACAGTGTTAAGGTAATCTTATGCATGCAAATAGACACTCGATGTTATATGTACATGTTAGTAATTAGCATTTGCAATTTAAAATAACATACAGAACTGCCATTAAACCATGATAGACTTTTGCCTGGAATATCATAATGTTACTAAGATTATTTAGATTATTCTTAAATGAATAGTTCTCCCAGAAATGAATATTCCCTTACTCTTCCTCATGTGGTTTTATACCTTTCTGAGTTTCTACTGTTAAACAAAAACAACAAAAAAGATGTTATGAACAATGTTGGTTTCTAGAACAAATTGACTACTGTAGTAGGAATTAAAAATACAATGGAAGTAAATGGACACCAGCCATCCGCATTCATCTAAATATCTTTACTCGAGCTCAGCAGAAGAAAGAAACCCAGTCAAGCATGAGTACATTTTAATTTTGGGTAAGCTATGCCTTTAGCTTTTAACTTTTTGCATTAAATTCATTAAAAACATGCTAACTAGTAATCTCTAACTAAAGGTGGAACAATCCCAGAGCGTTATCTAGGAGGCAGAATTGAACAAATCTACCGAGCGATTTGTGAACGATGCTCTTACCTTATTCACCAACACTGCAGATGAGCAAAATGAAAGCACACTCAAGAGTTTTCACGCTCTGAGCAGTTTGGTGGTCAACATGACCCCTCACCTACCTGGTAGTTTTAGCAGCCTGACAGAAAACAAATCTGACTGAAGTCACAAACATTTCTCATAAAGATGTGCTCGTAATGATCTTTATTATTGAAGTGCATTTGATTCATTAATACCTATTTCATGATAAGTAAGCAGTAAGCACTTTATTCAGTGCTGATGAACGTTCCTGTTGTGTTTTATCATGCGATCTCTACTTTTCTAAGAGCAGCTTTGTGTCACTCTTGTATTTAATCCAGATGTCTCTAACAGCAAATATGGTCATAAATACACTTTTGAGCAAATATTTACGTTTATCCAGCTTAGAACTTGTAGCATCTCATGACTAGTGATCATGTGGCCTTTGTGAGAGATGTCTACTTGTCTGACGTATTTCCTGTATTTGGTTCATGTGGGTGTGAAGAGTGCAAATGTCTTTAGAAGTTTTGATTAGCCAATAAGACATGCTTAAACGTAGTGTAAAAATGTTTTTACAGCAATTTATCCATTACATATATATATATATATATATATATATATATATATATATATATATATATATAGAGAGAGAGAGAGAGAGAGAGAGAGAGAGAGAGAGAGAGATTTTTTTTTTTTTACTTAATAAAATCAACTTTGACATTTAAATGGAAAAGTACACACTAATCAGACTAAGATGTGCAACAAAAAGTTTGGTAATATATATCTAATTAACTTTAATTAACTCATCGGTGATAATGGGCTGCACTTTTACATACCCTACTGGATATCAGATCATGAAAGTGCTCTGGACCAAACTCCTTATAAAGGGTGGAGACTTTCAAGATCTGTCTGAGGACCCTGAATACAGTCAGAGGCTTCAGTATTTGGGAGATAAACAGCAGAACTGCACCGTCAGACTGAGTCATGTGACAAAAAAAGATGAACACAAGTATTATTTCAGATAATTTCAGTGTGGAACTGCTTCCTGCTCGGTTTGTACGATTTGCCAGAATCTCTTTGAGGCCAACCGGTAGTCATCCTTGGTCTCTCCAAACACTTCCCAGGCCCAAGTTTTTGCTTCTGCAACTGCCTGGTCTGCAGCACAGTTTGCCTATCGATACCCTTGGGAGCCCTAAAAGCCAAACACGGCTGGTAGGACTCCATCTTTAGCTTGACGGCATCCTTTACTTCATGTGTCCACCACCAAGTTCTTGGATTGCTGGCATGCCAGGCACCATAGGCATAGCTCCTCAATGCTGCTTCATCAATAAAGTTGCAGAACATGGACCACTTAGTCTCAGTGTCTCCTGTCTTCCTCGGGATCTGGTCAAAGCTCTTCCAGAGGTGAGAGTTGAAAATCCCTCTGACATGAGGTTCAGTCAGACGTTCCTTGAGGGCCCTCAATACAATACTGCCAAGTCTTTCCGGCTTTCCACTCTGCCAGCAGATCCAACTCACCACCAGGTGGTGATCAGTTGACAGTTCTGCCCCTCTCTTAACCCAAGACTACTACAAAGTCAATCATCGACCTCCAGCCTAGGATGTCCTAGTGCCATGTGCACTGATGGACACCCTTATGCGTAAACATTGTCTTTGTATTGTTTGTGCCTGAAGGTGCCCGCAGGAGGACGATCCCACATCGCTTCTTCAGGCTGGATTCTGTAGCATAAAACCCAGCCATCAGGTACTGTTGCATATAAGCCCCTACCTCAGGCCTGGCTTCAGGGTGGGGGCCTGGGCTGCACTATACCAGGTAATGTCACAGTTCATGTTTTAGCATTCATAAGGGGTTTTTGATTTTTGTTTTTATTTTCTTTGACCTTAGTAGTGTTGGCCTGTCACTTTTGTTTGATATTTTCTTGTTGAATTTACACATTTATACATATTTTCATTATTGTGGAGATTTTATTTTGTGTGTGTATATATATATATATATATATATATAAAACCACTTTGTATACTAAAACACTTTTGTTAACATTTCTTTGTCCCTTTATCTTTTACCTGTTGCAAAAATTTACCATACCTTAAAGGGGACATATTCTGCCCATTGTTTTCAAGATGTAAAACAAGTCTCTGATGGAAAGAAAATTATACTGCGCTAAAACAAGGTGACCAGCAGATGGTACAAATAGACCAGACATATGTTCTCTGGGACAGGCTCACATTAGCTACATTTCCTTCCACCTATTTTTATGCGCATAAAAAACGGTTGAAAAAACCTCCAAGATGCGCATACATTTTTAAAATGCGCATAACTGAGTAGGATAAACTTTTTATTCGATAAGAAAAGATGCACATAAACTATAATGGAAACTTTTACTGAACAAATTTCAGTTTGCGCATTAAAAAAGTCATTTGATTTTGTTATATGAGGTCATGTGATGATAAAAATGTATGTCAATGGATAAACCAGCAGGCTGAGCACACTGTAAAACATCGGAAATGTTGTTTTGGTCATTTTAAAATGCCTTAACCATTGCAGTATTAATACTACATTATTGTAAATTACCTCTAGCATCTGTGCTCTGCGCCTCATGCCTTTAAATGCCACCACGTGTTCACTGCGTGTCTGGATTGTCTTCTGAGGTGCAAGTCATTTATTAAATGATGAAAAGATTCACACAGCTTCTTCTAAATCAAATCAAATCACTTTTATTGTTCTACCACAGCAAATTCTGTTTTTCTGTTGATTGTAGGTGGCAGTTAATTCAGGTAGTGATGATTCGGTTTGCTTTAACTCGTCGGGTGGAAATGCTGCTTCATTTGCACGTCTTTTATGGGATATTCCTGTTTTGCGCATAAAATTTATTTGCATTTTTAGATGGAAACATAGTTGTGTAGTACTTTGCATAGTAATGTGCAAATAATCAACAGAGTGTATGATATCAGTTTTTACGTTTGTTCTACCGATCTCTGAACATACTGCTGTTTATTAATGATTAAGATTTATTCTTAAGTATTGAATGACAGAAGATGATAAGCAATAGCAATGTTTTATTTACTGCTTGGTGAATTTAGTAAATAAATGTATGTTACATGAAAAAGATTTAAATAATTAGTCACTTTCAATTGATGAAACTCATTCTCCAATCATTTCTCTGTTGTTAACAAAAACAATCCTGATGTTCTTTCCCTCTGTCGTGACTCTTCTCCCGTCTAGAGGCATGGGGGAAAGGAAAAAATAAATTTGGACAGCTGCTCCACTCAAACACTAATGTTAACATATTTACAAAGACACAACAGGCTCAAAGCTTAATCCTCAACAATAGTTAAACTACATGTTGTCTGGGCAAGCAAAGGCATGACTCTGCTGTTTTACATCTGCTGCTTCATTCAACAGTGAACGATACTCCTGCTAACAAGGAGATGATTCGGAAACCTGCAAAAAGAGAGAGAGAGCGAATCAAGGACAGCCTGCCACCACTAAACACTATGTAAGAGATAAAGCATATCCAGGAGGTGGAGTATGGGTGGTGTATATCCAGAAAAAAGTGGGGCACTGTTGTATTTATTCAGCCGGCTGACTAGCTCTCTGCAACTACACCATATCATGTTATATGAATTACTCGTATTTTATTTCAACATTAACCTCACCTAATGAGGAAAGTCCATTCTGGGATTAATTTTGGAGACCGCTTCTTGGAGAACATCCTCCTCATTCAGTCATGACCTGTATTTCTTTTTTAAGGTGTCAGAAAGTTTACCATTGTGCCATAATATTAATCTGCTGTCATCATCATCATCATCACTTTCTTTCGCTTATCCGGGGCTGGGTCACGAGGGTAGCAGTCTTAGGAGAGAACCCCAGACTTCCCTCTCCCCAGACACTTCTTCCAGCTCCTCAGGGTGGGATCCCGAGGCGTTCCCAGGCCAGCCGAGAGATATAGTCCCTCCAACGTCTCCTGGGTCTTCCCCGAGGCCGCCTCCCGGTGGGACAAGCCTGGAACACTTCCTTAGGTAGGCATCCTGAAGGCATCCGAAGGAGATGCCAGAGCTACCTCAGCTATCTTCTCTCAATGTGGAGGAGCAGCGGCTCTACTCCGAGCTCCTCCAGGTGACAGAGCTCCTTACCCTGTCTATAAGGGTGCACCCTGCCACCCTATGAAGTAAACTCATTTCAGCCGATTGTTTCCGAAATCTTGTTATTTCGGTTATGGCCCAAAGCTCATGACCATAGGTGAGAGTAGGAACGTAGATTGACTGGTAAATTGGGAAATTTGCCTTTCGGCTCAGCTCCTTCTTCACCACAAAGGACCGATACATCAACAACATTACTGCTGCCGCTGCACCGATCCACCTGTCAATCTCACGCTTTATCCTTCACTCACTCGTGAACAAAACCCCAAGATACCTGAACTCCTCCACCTTGGGTAAGGTCTTTTATCCAACCTTGAGATGGCAAACCACCTTTTTCCAGTGGAGCACCATGGCCTTGGACTTGGAGGTGCTGATTCTCAATCCAACCCGACCCCCAATTTTGGGAACCACTAATCTAGATTAGCACCAACATTTTCTGAGATTGTTTTGTAATGGATGTCTAGGATAAATTCTTGACCATTTCATAAGCCACTGACTTGATTTAGAAATTAGCACAGGTGAGTTTTATAAAATGCAATATAGTATTGAAGGACAGTTACAGATTTTAGCCAATTTGTTTTCCTAGATAAACAATTATGGCCATGGTGACATTTGTAAAGGTTTAAAGTTAATGAGGGATCAGCCAAATTATGAAAGACATTCATCATTACTTACCTCTACATTTGCATACACAGGGTCGGTCAAATCATCATTGCAAACTGCATCGTCATGATCAGGTTTGGACGTCTTTGCAAGGAAATAAAAGAAAGAAATCAATAGACAGAAAAGAACTAATATGGTTTAGCCCACACCAACTATAAGAAGACTTTACCTTTACATTTGCATACACAGGGTCCATGAAATCCTCACAGTAATCATTGTCTCCGTCATGATGAGGTCTGGACTGATTCATCGTAGCCAGTAGAATACATCACACACAAAATAAACCAGTGCTTATGAACGATTAAGCCAAAACAGACATTCAGTTCACGAGAGATCTGGATCAATATACTATAACTATACTTGCAACTATACTTGCTTTACTCACCTGAGACACTTCTGTATTGTTTCTCTTCAGCTTGTGTTTCCTTAAAAACAATGAATAGTGAGTATGTTTTTGTAGGAACTTACTGGACTTGTGTTGTTTTTCTTGTTTTAATAATGGGAAAAACCTCTAAACAAATTATATGTTTATGGTGATTACACTGCAGTTAAATGCTGAACACATCTCACCAAATCAGCAACATCATAATGACAACTGCAGCTCCACAAACCACTCCAATAGATATGTGTAATATCAGCGGACGTCCTACAGCAGACGAAAGAGTAAAACATCAGAAAATGTTCACTTTAGGAGTAAGTAAATGAGCTGCTTTACCTTTAACAGTGACAGTGACGGCGTCTGATCTCTGAGCTCCATGTGGATTGTGAGCCTCACAGTAGAAGCGTCCACTCTGTACTGCACTGAAACTCTGTCCAGATCCAACAGCTGAGCTTTGATTCTCCTTAAACCAGCTGAAGCTCAGAGCAGGAGGGTTTGAGTCACTGATGCACATCAGACTCACTGAATCTCCAGACATTATTACAGCAGATCCATTTATAGACACTGAGACGTTCCTGGGGGGATCTGAAAAAGACCAAATTTACAAGTTATTATAGATATTTTTTTGACAAATAAAAAGATGTTTATTATAATAATGAAGTATAAAAAAATAATCATAAACTCACACTGGACATTTAAAGTCACAGGATCAGAGTATTTCACTTTATGGTCATTTCTGGTTTTACACTTGTATTCTCCACTGTCATCAGAGCTGATCTTGGAGATGTTGAAGATTCTTCCAGATCCTACAAACTTTGTTCCTTTATACCAGTGTATTTCTGCAGGAGGGTTTGAGTCGCTGCTGCAGTTCAGAGTCACTGAATCTCCAGACATTATTACAGCAGATCCACTGATGGACACTGAGATGTTGTTTGGAGGATCTAAAATGAACAAAACCAAATCTTGATGAGTTCATCTAACAGAATCTCCAGTAGAGAACTAAACATCTATTAATCTGTACTCACAGGTGACATTGAGATAGACCTCAGGTGATGTGAGTGTGTGTCCATCTACAGCACATCTATATCTGCCTGCATCTTCTCTTCTGACTGGATTGAGGATGAGTTTGTCTCCAATAGTTCCTTCAGTCAATGTGTGTGAGTTTCTGTACCAGATGAATGTTGGTGTGTCAGTCAGTTCACAGCTGCTGTTACATGTCAGACGGACTGAATCTCCCTCTGTCACTCTCTCAGGAGACTCCAGCTGAAGATCTGAACACAACACACACATTATATCTAGTGCTGCTCTCACACACTGATTATTATTCTACATAATGACCACAAGAAGAGAGAAACCTCAGGAGAGTCACCTGTGACAGAGAGACGCACTCCTGGAGTGCCAATCCATCTTTCTTTAGTTACATTAGTAGTGAATCTGCAATAATACTTGTGTTCATCTTTCTTTGTCACATGACTCAGTCTGACGGTGCAGTTCTGCTGTTTATCTCCCAGATACTGAAGCCTTGGACTGTATTCAGGGTCCTCAGACAGATCTGCATGCTCTTCTCCATGTATTACAAGGTCTTTGTTCCAGAACACTTTCATGATCTGATGTCCAGTAGGGTATGTAAAAGTGCAGCTCATGATCACTGATGAGTCTTTTAGTGCACAGATGTGTAAAGAACTGTAATTCACACCCCAATCAGCACAAGAAACCCCTGAGACAGAAATAATCAAGAATGTTCAGGCGAAGATAAAATATGCAAAACGTCTAGATCAGGGGTGTCCAAACTACAGCCCACGGACAATCTGCGGCCCGCAATCAGTTTTGTGGCGGCTCCATGAGGCTTTTTGTAAATATTGATAGAATCTGGCCCGCTATACAAAAATGAACGTAATTCAATAAATGATCACCAGGTGCCGCTATGACATGCCTTCAATTAGGCAGCAATTCTTGTAATGAAGTAAAACGAACCGAACAAACTGTAGGAAACACAATTGATAATCACGTTTTGGCGAGCCATGATACAAGCAAGAAAAACGAAAATCAAAAGTGAATGCAGGAAATTTTTGTCTCGTTGAGGCAAAGAATATTTTTTCACAGAGGTCAGCGAAACATGTATCTGTTTAATTTGCCAGGAATCAGTTGCAGTAATGAAGAAATATAATATTAAAAGACATTATAAAACAAAACATCAGGCCTTCAGCTCTTACACTGGTGCAGAACGAGATCAAAAAGTAAAACGATTAGCAGCTCCTCTATCAGCTCAACAATAGCAGTTTTTTTCGTGCTTATAAAGTGCAAGATAATTCTACGCTGGCTAGTTATGAGGTAGCTCAGCTAATCACACAGCACAGGAAACCCTTCACTGAAGGAGAATTTATACAGGAGTGTCTGATGAGTGTTGCAACTGTAATTTGTCCAGAGGATATTCAAGATTTCAAAAATGTAGGTCTTTCTAGAAACACAGTTGCACGATGAATTAAAATAAATCCATAATACAAACAGACACACACACACACACACATATATATATATATATATATATATATATATATATATATATATATATATATATATATGAGCATTATCACCTAGTAGCAGTGCGATATGGCTGAATATCGCCACTAGTGGGAGGCGCGCGATGTGCCCCCACCAGTGCCGATATACAGGCTTATCGCACTGCTACTCGTGTCATATTGCATTTATACGACAGTTTGACGACATAATTGTGTATATAAAAACAAAATCAAACATGGAGAGTTAAAACAGTTAAAAGCATCTTTTAAACTTTAGATCTGTAGTGTCTCTGCTTTTTGCTGGCTGTATGTGTGCGGAGTAATACACAAAGGGTAAAGAGGCTGTAGGAGTTCTGATATTGCAGAATTATATTTGATATTGCAACATATATATATATATATATATGCGTGTCTGTGTGATGTATGTAAAATTTGGTCCGGGACAACATTTTTTTTTTTTTTTTTGCATCTGGCCCTTGGCCCAAAAAGTTTGGACACCCGTGCTCTTGATAGTTTCTGAAGTGTTGCAGTGACTCACTGTTAATGATGAGCAGGAAGATCAGATGAAGGGGAGGGGCCATTCTGACCGACATCACCATTGTTCTGTATTTAAACTTGTTTTATAGTAATTTTATAACACAGGACCCTGTAAAGGTATATATATTACCATTAGGCTCAGGAACAAACTGAGATGATGAAGAGATTCAAAATTAAGATTTTAATGACAATTATTCTGGTAATCCAAAACAAGACATAATATTAGCACAGAAGTTCCATCAGCTCAAACACAACCAACACCAAACTATGTGCTAAGAAAACAGAGGAAAGAAACCCTGTGGTTAACGCTTAACTTCCCTTTTCTGTCCAGTTTTAAGGTCACTTTATATTTATTATAAAAACCACCCAATTTGCTGTAACATTTGCAACTATCTTTTTAGAGCTACATTCAAAACAGAACACTGTCATATGAACAATTTAAAAATAAATAAACACATAAAAATAACATGAATTGGTCATGCTTTACCTGGTATAATGTCTTAGTTTGCCCAAAATTTAAAACCACCTCATGAATTACTTTACCCACATGTGGTTTTAAACCTATAATAGTTTCTTTAATTGAACACAGAAGACATTTTGAACAATGTTGGCTGTTGGCACCAATTGACTACCATAGTAGCAGGTAAAAAATACTATGGAAGTAAATGTACACCAGCTACATGCATTCATCAAAATCTCTTATTTGAGTGCAGCAGAAGAAAGAAACTCGAATAGTTTTTGAACATGAACTATCTATTTAACGACTGCATTGTTTAGCATTTTCAGTTGTGTTCGCTATTGAAAAAAGTAGATTTTGTTAAAAACGTTAACATGCGACACTTAACTATGGGTAGAACAATACTGCAACATTATCTAGAAGAATGTCATTAATCTACTGAGCGATTAGTAAACGATGCTCTTACCTTTTTCACCAACACTCTTAGTTTTTTCACTCAAACAGCTCTCAGTTTTCAAACTGTTAAAAATGTTGGTGGACAACGCCTTTTAACGCAAGGTCTATCTATCACACCTCATCCTGGTGTCATTTTTATCAACATTGCAGAACATGTCTGACTAAAGTTGTGAAAATTTAGCTCAAATAAGGTCTACCCATAGAGATTCTCTTGCAATTATCTTTATTATATATGAAAATAATAGCTTTATTGTTCATTTCATTAATAACAATTTCGGGTCCCACTTTATATTAAGTGTACTTAACTACTATGTACTTATATCAAAAAATAAATACAATGTACTTACTGTGTTTATAATGTATTTGAGAACACATGGTGCTTTTGAGTTTGGATAGAGGTTGGGTTATGGACAGGTTTGGTGGTGTGGGTAGGTTTAAGGGTGGGTTAAGGTGTAAGCGATGGTCAACAGTGTATTTACAAATGTAATTACAAAAGTTAATTACAGATGTAATTACATACATGTATTTAATCAAGCATAAGTACACAGTAAATACATGCATTTACTCAATAAGTACATTGTAACAAACTATTAATTCTTGTGTAAGTACATAATAGTTAAGGCCACAATATAAAGTGGGACCCTATTTCATATAAAAATAACTTTAAGTGATGCTGATGAATATTACAGGTGCTTCCTGTTGTGTTTTATTACATGATCTCTCTTTTTCTAAGGGCAGCTTTGTGTCACTGTTGTATTTATTTCAGTCTCCAACTGCACGTAGCCATAAATACTTGTTTGTGTTCCACTATTTAGACTTATAGACTTAGCATCTCATGGCTAGTGATCATGTTACTCTTGCGAGAGATGTTTGCTTGCCTGACGTATTTCCTGTACTTGACTCAAGTGTCCAAGTGGGTGTAAGAGTGCTAATGTTTTTGTTTTTTTTAGATGTTTCGATTGGCCAATAGGACGTGCCCAAATGTAGTGTAGTGAAAATGTTTTTACAGCGCTTCATTTACACATTCTATATATTTAATATGTTGTTTTTTTCTCTGATAAGTAAACCCTACAAGTTTAAATGACAAAATACACATAATTGTAAAATGTGTACCGCAAATATATATTAGAATAACCTGCACTGCAAACCTTTTCATTGGCATCTTGCGGGTTTTGGGAGAATGTGAGTTCCTGATTGTGATGAATGATGGGATATGCTTACTTGATTTGAAGGTTTTTAAATGTGAGACCGTATTGAGGTTAAAATACAGGAAATACATCATGTAAAGAAGTCAAGAAAGCAAGTGTCAGAATCGGAACAGGCCCCAAATCATCCAGGGTTTATAGGGATACTTCACCCAAAAATAAAAGTGTACATTTTATTCTCCCACCCTCAGGCCACTGAATATATAGGTGACTAAGTAGCCAAGAGGCACAAATGAAAGTCCTGGGATGTTGGCAGAAGGCCATGGTTGTGTCAGAGGGATAGTCCAGGGAGGATCAGACAGGACAGGGATCATACGAGGAGCGGAGTTTAACTAGGACAAGCAGACCTGGTGGAAGCTGGCTGGGTTTTGAGCATGACTGGAGCCAACAGAGCTTTAGACTGGACAGGAGCTGACAGGACTTGAGGCCCAATAGGGTTCAACTCAACTAGAGGCTTGAGGCAACAAGACATGGAGCTTGGGAGGCACAGATAGGACAAGGAACTTGAGTGACATCTTCAGAGGAAGGAACATGGATAAGACCTATGGGGCAAGAAACTTGGGTGACACTAACAGGGCAAGGAACTTTGGTGACAATGACAGAGAGGACAAGGAACTTGGATAACACAGACAAGGCTAGGAACATTGGTGACTCTGATAATACAAGGAAGTTCAGTGACTTGGGTGGAGGGAAACTTTGAGGACCCCACAGGACAAGGGACTTTAGTGTTAATGACAGGGCAAGGATCTTGATGAAGATTGACAAGGAAAGGATCTTTGATGACACTAAGAGGGCAAAGAACTTAGGGCAAGGCTTGTAAGGAAATATGGGGCAAGTGATGAAAAGGGGAGGATGAAATGTTTGGGGCAAGGGACTTGGGTGACACTGATGGGCCAGTTATGGTGCAAGGGACTCGAGTTACAATGACGGCAAGAAAATTGGTTGATGAAGGACAGAGCTTTGGGGACACAGATGGAGCAAGGACCTTTGGTAACACCAACATAGCTAGCAACTTTTGTTACAGGTGGGGCAAGGAATGTGGATGACACTTATGGGGCATGGAACTAGGGTGATACCAACTAGACAAGAAATATGGGTGACGGGCAAAGGAATTTTGGTGACACGGCAGAGCAAGAAACTTTGGTGACATGATGGGACAAGAAACTTGTGTGACACTGACAAGACAAAGAACTTGGGTGACAAAGGTAGGGCAAGGAATGAGGATGACACTAATGGGGCAAAGAATTGGGTGACACTGACTAGACAAGAAACTTAGGTGACACCAACAGGGCAAAGAACTGCCCAAGCCCCTTGCCCTGCTGGAATCACTCAAGTTCAATCAGAACATGCCACCATTTACTCAAATAGAAATTACTTTTCCTATGGCAGTACATGTGTCGGGATATCTGTTTGATTTACTGTCATTCTTTCATATATATATTTTTCTTTTTTTTTTTTTTTAAACAGGAGAGGAACCTGAGGGTGAGTAAATTATTACAGATTTTTCAGTTTGCATGAACTGTCCCTTTAAAGGCTTTATACTTCTGCGTCAAACGCCGGCGTATGCTACGACGCTGACGCATAGCCCTTTGCCGTCACTGACGTGCACCTCTCAAAAAATGTAACTACACGTCGCAATGACGCGTAGCCTAAGCTCTGTGATTGGTCGGCTTGGTAGCGCTGACGAGTCTGGGCGGGACCGAGAGCCGCGCGATCGATTGTTTACAAGTGTGGAGTCCCGTGAAGGAGCTCCGGATGGAAAGTTTTGTTTTGTGTTTACCTCATAGTTAAAGTTGTTGCACGTCCTCCGGTTCCTGCCTTAAAATGAGCGAGTTTGAGCTACTTGTACACCCCGGAAGTGTTCAGGAAAAGCAAAAAAGTAGCGAAGAAACTCGACACAGAGGAACATTTACACCTCACTGCCAACTAGCGTTTCGGAAGTGTTAATGCAGACCGACAGAGACAGCGCGCAGAAGTATAAATGCACAGCCACGCGCGTTGCCTGCGCCGTGGGTTACGCCGGTCACTTGACGCAGAAGTATAAATCAGGCTTTAGTCAACTTTTTAGTGAGCGCCCTCTAGTGGCTATGCATTCATATTGCGTAACATATGCTTTACTGGGAAAAAAAACATGCACAGAGGTGTTTAAAAATACAGATTTTTATTCATACAATGAAACGAATATATTAAAATATTTCCAGATGAAGATTGTTCATGTATTTAATTATACATAAAAAAGGATACTGTTGAAAATATGTGGTGATCTTTAATGAGCTGTAGTATTCAACACAACATCGCATTAGATATAGATATTTTAAAGTCTGGATCGTATTTTAGTAGTTAAGCAGAGGTCAAAATTTACATTTACTTGAGGTTAAAAAAAAGTTTTAAAAAATCATTTAAAAGAGAACAAATAAGCTGTGCAAATGTCATTCATACTGCAGCCAGTATATTATTTACATGACTTTTATTAAATTAGCAAATAGAAAAGGCTAGAGTAAACAGTGATGTACAGTAAACACAAATCTCTGTAGTCAGTCCTGCTCTCATTTCCCTACGTTCTTGTAGAGGATCATGGAAACAACCATTGCTGCAATCTGTGAGGAAACAAACAGTGAAATGATTGTAAATGTTAGCTGTAAATATTTAATAAAGTAATAATACAGTGGATGTGTTTGATTCGTCAATTGTAGTTTATCACATACTGAGATTTAGTGCATACACGTTAATTTTCAATGTTCACCGTTTGTTAATCTGTGCATATTGAGACACATTAGTCTACATTGAGTTCCTTCATTGAGTTGAAGGTAAAAAAGTAAATACCTCTAAAGCTGCGATTCCCAAAGCCACACCAGCCAGCAGGAGTGCATTATCCTCAATCAGCTTCACTAATGTCCTAAAGCAGCCCGCGATAACCTACAACAACAGAAAACACACACACTGATGAACAAACACACACAGCATCTGCATTCGCCTAGACATTTAGTTCTGTAATGATTCTGTCTGACATTGTTGGACCGTCCATCTGTATTATTATATATTTGTTTTAAAGTTATGCAAAACTATTTGTAGATTAGTTAGGTTGGGGATTAGGATGTATAATAATGTCCTACATTCCCAACTTTATGACTGGTTGCATTTTACAGTAGGACATTTATTATTTGCAAACCCATTTAGCTTTATAAATGCACCGGTCAAACGAAAACTAAGATCATTATTTTACATAGGAAATTGTTGGAGTCAATGCCACCAATTACTGCAGACGATTTATAGGGTACTATGAAATACAAAATATTTTTCTGGCGAAATCCTTTTAATTGTTGTTATTATTATTATTATTATTATTATTATTATTATTATATATTAGTACATTGTAAATAAAATTGTTGACTCAACAATCTGAGATTTTTAGTCATAACTTAAATTTTACTTATTTCCTTATTTAGAAATGTTAGATTTTTAAAGCTGAATCTAATAAGTCCAGTTAACTTAAGTTTATATGTTGAATCTAGTAAGTGCAACTAACTTAAGTTTTTTAATGCTGAACCACACAAGTTCTGCTAACTTTTTAAAGCTGAATGCAATAAGTTCAGCTAACATAAGATCAGTTTTATTGCGGAATCTAATAAAATCAACTTACTTAACTTTTCTAAGCTGAAACCAATACGTTCAGCTAACTTAACTTTTTAAAGCTAACATATTTTTTTAAGCTGAATCTAATAAGTTCAGCTAACTTAAGTTTTAAATGCTAACTCATTTTTTAAAAGCTGAATCTAATAGGCTTAGCCACCTTAAGTTTTTAAAGCTCACTTTTTTAAAGCTGAATCTAATAAGTTCAGCTAACTTTAGTTTTTAAAGCTAACTTATTTTTCAAAGCTAAATCTAAGAACTTCAGCTAACTTAAGTGTTTTAATGCTAATCCAAATAAGTTCTGCTAAGTATTTTAAAGCTGAATCCAAAAGTTTAGCTAATTTAAGTTCTGTTGTTTGTTTTTTTTTTTTTGCTGAATCTAATAAGTTCTGCTAACTTAACTTTTCTAAACTGAATCTAATAAGTTCTGCTAACTTAACTTTTCTAAACTGAATCCAATAAGTTCAGCTAACTTAAGTTTTTAAAGCCAACTTATTTTTTTTTTTTCAAAGCTGAATCAAATAAGTTCAGCTAACTTAAGTTTAGTTTACTGGTCTTATTGGGTGAGTTAACTGAACTTTTGTAAACAAGTAATTAAAATTTTAAAAAGTCCACACAAAAAAAAAATCTTTTAAATGATGGCACTCAGTTTGCTTTTTGTGCACCACAGTAAAAAAGTGACTAATAATCATCAAATTAAAGATGATGCTATTGAACTGTTCAATGTCCAATCATAAATGCAGGTTTTTTAGTGAGTCTGAGAACAGAGCGTTCTCTACATACCGCATCTTCTGCTGCCCTTTCATCACATCGCTGTGAACCGCTCGAGCAACACTTTTCAGGATACATCGATGTTTCTTCCACAAAATTAGAGCCGCTGAAGTCAGTGTAGTTGTTATATCCACAGCATTTCAGCTAGAAACAAACACATATAATGACACTGATTAATACGAAGCAGAGAGATGTTGATGTCAGAAAGCGTCTGGAAATAGAAAAGATGGCGTACCTCATTCATAGTGGTGTTCCAGATTGAGCTGAAAGGCTCATCCTTTCCATAATTATCCTTAATGCTTTTAGCCACTTTCTGTCCGATTTCATTCAGAGTTTCCTGAACCTAAAAGACAATGAAATGACAGAAATGATGGACGGTAAAATTGATATAAAGTTCACTTCCTCTCAGGCATGAATTATCCAGTTATCCAATTATCTAGTATGTGTTTTATGTAACGTATGCCCTTCCAGCTGCAGTACTGGAAAACACCCATACACTTTTACATTCACACTCATACACTACGGGTAGTTTTAGTTAATCAATTCCCCTATAGCGCATGTGTTTGGACTGTGGGGGAAACTGGAGCACCCGGAGGAAACCCACGCCAACACGGGGAGAACATGCAAACTCCACACAGAAATGACCACTGACCCACTTGGGACTTGAACCTGCAACCTTCTTGCTGTGAGGGCACAGTGCTAACCACTGAGCCACCATGTCACCCAATGCAAATCATTTTAAGTTTGGATGGCTATTAATTTAGTCTTCGGTGTGTTTTTCTGTTGTGTCTCAGTGCATCATTTCTCACCACAGGCTCAAAGACGAAGAGCACCACAGCGGCCGCCACCTCCACGAGGAAGATGATGAGCACGATGATGAAGAACTGTGAGGAAATTAAAAATAAACACTGTTACATCTGCATCCGCTGGTGAACTCGGAGAGGGAAATGTTTGGTAACACTTCACAATACTAATGCATATTCAGGGCCGGCGCGTCCATAGAGGCGACCTAGGCGGCCGCCTAGGGTGGCAGTATAGAGAGGGCAGCATCCGCGACACCTGCCTCACCACCCGCGTCCTCGGGTATGTCCGCGACACCTGCCTCACCACCCGCGTCCTCAAATATATTCGCGCATAGACGACTGAATAGAGAGGGCAGCGTCAGCGACACCTCCATCAGCACCCGCATGTCCTCACATATATCCGCGCATAGGGCGGCAGAATAGAGAGCGCAGTGTCCGTGACACCTCCCTCCCTCCCTCAGCACCCGCGCGTCCTCAGTTATATCTGCGCATAGTGCGCTGGAAAAGAGGTCCGCGACACCTCACTTCATTTTCGTAACCGGTCACTTTCGTTTTCACATTGGGGTTGAGGGCGGCGTGATCGTCCTCTGCCTAAAGCGGCAGTTCAGCTTGCTCCGGCCCTGTGCATATTAGTGCACCCATGTTGTAACCGAATGTAGAACTGCACGACATTGGAAAAACAATTTAATTGTGACATTTTATTTTATAAATAATAGATCAGGGGTGTCTAAACTCGGTCAAGGAGGGCCGGTGACCTGCTGAGTTTAGCTCCAACTTGCTTCAACACACCTGCCAGGAAGTTTCAAGGGCTGCGTCCGAAACCGCCTACTACTCAGTAGGTAATGCATTTGAATTTAAGCGTACTAAGCGTAAAAGTACATTTTATATATATTATATATATATATTCATAAGTATGAAAAGTTTAAATGGAATTCGGACGTCCTACATCCTCCATTTTGTCATGGTCACGTGACCTACCTGCGTCAGTTGTGTCGCTTCACTCCCATTCATGAATATTCTTGCGGGGCATCACTGGATAGCGTAACATGCATGGGATGCGCACTCCAGAATCTCGCTGGAAGTAGTAAGTCATCTGGGTAATTCTCGCATAATGGTTTTCGAATTCTATGAATTCGGACATGCTACTTAGCTCGCATACTGATTTTAGCATACTATATAGTATGGAAGTATGCGGTTTCGGATGCAGCCTAGTTTCTAGTAAGAGCTTGATTAGCTGGTTCAGGTGTGTTTGATTAGGGTTGGAGCTAAACTCTCCAGGACACCGGCCCTCCGGGACTAAGTTTAGACACCCCCCTGCTGAAAAATCCAGCTCAAACCAGCCTAGCATGGTTGGCTGGTTTTAGCTGG